GGGGCTTATGCGTGTGTTGCTAGTAAGGGAAAATACTTCATTGTGATGCATACGCAGCAAGATAAGGGGGCTAAAGCGCGTGAAGCTATTTCGGAAAAATATTTTAAATTGTGAAGCTCACGCGGCGTCATAAGGGTGAATTGTGACTTGTGATTTGTGATTATGAGGTGCGGTACCTCGGGGTAATTTTTGTTGTTATTCTTATGATTGGTACGGCTTTATGAGTTGAACTTTTCAATGTTTCCTTAATTGTTTTCTCTTTGTGTATTACTTGCCGTGTTATTACAAGTTTACTTTTTGTTGTCATTTATTGATTTTATTTTCCGTTGTTAGCTATATATTGATATTATGTAAGTGTTATGTCTAGTGAGTATCTTGACTTGAACCTCATCACTACTCCACCGAGGTTAGTCTTGATACTTACTGGTATTGTTTATGGTGTACTCATATTACGCTTCTGCATATTTTGTGTAGATCTGGGTACCTAGGACCGTGTTGGACGCTAGTGAGTTGATTTAGATATTGCGGAGACTTCAAGGTATACCTGCATGATGCTCGCAGGCCTCGAAGTCACCTTCTAGTGATAATTTGCTACTGTTTATTTTATTTCCAAACAGTGTTGTATTTGAGATTGCTAGTGAACTCGCAATAGAGCTTATGACTCCATACTGCCGATTTTGGGGATGTATGACTATTGTTCTTTTTCAGTTATGTTATGCCATTTACTAGTTTAAGTGGTTTAATTCTGTTGATCTCGTCATGTGTAAGCTTACCTAGTCTTAGAGAATAGGTGTCATCACGATCCTCAATGTGGGATTTTGGATCGTGACAAGTTGGTATCAGAACTCTAGGTTCATAGGAACTACGAGTCATAAGAAAATTTAATAGAGTCTTGCGGATTGGTACGTAGACGTCTGTATTATCTTCGAGAGGCTATGAAACTATTAGGAAATTTCACTTCTTTCATTCCTTATCGTGCAGATTTATTGATTTCGGAATTTGAGCTTTGTCTTTATATTCTCTCACAGATGGTGAGAATACGAGATTCAGTTATTGACAATGCTTCCCCCAGTGCCGGTGTTGCTAAAGGCCGGGGCAGAGGTCGAGGCAGAGGCCGAGGAGGGTCACGTACTAAAGCTAGAGCACTTGCGAGAGCAGCATCTGAGGAGCTACCAGTAGCTCCGATTGGGGAGCAGGCACCTGAGACGCATGTTACTACCCCTAGACTTCAAGAGACTTTGGCGCATTTTCTGAGCTTGTTCGGTACTTTGGCTTAGGCAGGATTGATCCCAGTTGCACCAGCTACTTCTCAAACTGGAGGAGGAGCTCAAACTCCCGCCGCACGTACTCTAGAGTAGCGGGGTCATGTTGATTAGGCTCCCGGTGATATACTGGTACAACCCGTGACAGCGGTTCAGCCTGAGGTCAGGCCAGTGGCATCAGAGGAGGAGCAAAAGCGGTTAGAGAGGCTCAAGAGGTATTTTCCTCCAACTTTCAGTGACGTAGTTTCTGAGGATGCACAGGGCTTTCTATACCAGTGCCATCGTATTCTCCGCACTATTGGCATTGTGGAGTTGAGCGGGGTCGACTTTACTACTTTTCAGCTGATGGGGTCGGCATATAGGTAGTGGCAAGCTTATGATGAGAGTAGGCCAGTTGATGCAGCACCTCTCACTTCGGCTCAATTTTCTGATCTATTTTTGAGGGAGTGTGTTCCACAAACCCTCAGGGATGCATTGCGCACAGAATTCGAGCAGTTGCATCAGGGGACTATGACTGTGTCCGAGTATGCCATGAGGTTTAGTAAGCTATATCGTCATGCACCCACTTTGGTTTCTACAGTCAGAGATCGACTCCGCAGATTTATCGAGGGGCTCAGTTATGGTCTCAGATTCAAGATAGCACAGGAGCTGGAGACTGATACTCCATTTCAGAAGGTTGTGGAGATCGCTCGCAGGTTGGAGATATGCGTGGCCAGAAGAGGGAGGATAGAAAGGCCAAGAGGCCTCGAAATTTTGGAGGGTTTAGTGGTACCCTCTCAACAGTATCAGCTCGTCACGACAGAGGTTTCATCAATCGACTAGTACAATCTGCACTTCAGGTCACTCGCAATGTTCCATCTATTCAGGGACCTCAGAGTACTCACTTTGGTCAGCCATCTTAGATGCACCTCCTGTAGGGGGGCCTACATCGATCATTCTAGCCGTCTGGATCAGACTCAGTTCCAGCAGTCGCGCCCTCAGAGAGGTTATTTTGAGTGTGGTGATACCAGGCATATGGTGAGGGATTGTCCTAGACATCGGAGGGGTGGACCTCCACAGGGTACTCAGGCTATAGTTTCTACTCCAGTTACTGCTACACCTGCACAGCCGTCTAGAGGTGGAGGACAGGACGGTATAGATTGTCTTAGAGGGGGAGGCCAAGCCTGTTGTTATGCTTTTCCGGGTAGGACTGAGAGTGTTGCATCAGATGTTATCATCACAGGTATTGTTCTGGTATGTCATAGGGATGCACCAGTTTTATTTGATCCGGGCTCCACTTATTCGTATGTGTCATCTTACTTTGCTTCATATTTGGATATGTCTCATGATTCTTTGAGTACCCCTGTTTATGTGTATATGCCTCTTAGGGATTCTATTATGGTAGATTGTGTTTATCGATCGTGTTTGGTCACTATCGGGGGTTATAAGACTAGGATTGATCTTCTACTCCTCAGTATGGTGGACTTTGATTTTATTTTGGGCATGGACCGATTGTCGCCATATCACGCTATTCTTTATTGTCACGCCAAGACTGTGACGTTGGCCATGTCAGGGTTGCCGCGGTTGGAGTGGAGAGGTTTGTTGGTCCATGTTCCTAGCAAGGTAGTGTCTTTCCTGAAGGCACAGCGGATGGTTGAGAAGAGGTGCTTGTCATACTTAGCCTTGGTGAGGGATATTAGTGATGATACTCCTACCATTGAGTCAGTTTCGGTAATGAGAAATGTTCTAGATGTATTTCTAGCAGACCTACCCGATAGGAATATTGATTTTGGTACCCGATAGGAATATTGATTTTGGTATCGACTTGGTGCCGAGCACTCAACCCATCTCTATTCCATCATATCTCATGGCACTAGTTGAGCTGAAGGAATTAAAGGAACAGCTTCAGGAATTGCTTGATAAAGGTTTCATCAGACCGAGTGTCTCACCTCGGGGTGCTCCAGTTCTATTTGTGAAGAAGAAAGATGTCTCTATGAGGATGTGTATTGACTACAAGCAGCTGAACAAGGTAATAGTCAAGAACAAGTACCCACTAACGCGTATTGATGACTTGTTTGATTAGCTTTAGGGTGCTAGGGTATTCTCGAAGATTGACTTGAGATCGGGGTACAATCACTTGAAGATTCGGGCTTCAAATGTTCCGAAGACGTCTTTCAGGACCTGTTATGGTCACTTTGAGTTTCAGGTGGTGTCTTTCGGGCTGACCAATAACTCAGCACCATTTATGCACTTGATGAACAGCGTGTTCCATCCATATCTTGATTCCTTCGTCATTGTGCTCATTGGTGATATATTGGTGTATTCTCGTAGCCGGGAGGATCGTGAGCAGCACTTGAGGATCGTGCTCCAGACTTTGAGGGAGAAGAAGTTATATGCTAAATTCTCCAAGTGTGTGTTTTGGCTTGATTCGGTGGCATTTTTGGGCCATGTGATGTCCAGCGAGGGGATTAAGGTGGATCCGAAGAAGATTGAGGCAATTCAGAGTTGGCCCGAGCCTTCTACCGCTACTGAGATCCGAAATTTTCTAGGATTGGTGGGGTATTATCGTCGTTTTGTGGAGGGTTTTTCATCCATCGCAGCTCTTTTGACTAGATTGACTCAGAAGGGTGCCCCAGTCATGTGGTTTGACGAGTGTGAGGAGAGCTTTCAGAAGCTCAAGACTGCCTTAACTACAGCTCCAGTTCTGGTTTTGCCTTCAGCATCGGGTTCTTATACAGCCTATTATAATGCTTCACATGTTGGCATTGGGTGTGTGTTGATGCAGGAGGGTAGAGTGATTGCTTATGCTTCACGTCAGTCGAAACCACATGAGAAGAACTACCCGGTACACGACTTAGAGTTAGCAGCCATTGTTCATGCACTAAAAATTTGGAGGCAACGGTGTGTCATGTGAGGTGTTCACGGATCACATGAGTGTATAGCACGTATTTAAGCAAAAGGATCTGAACTTGAAGCAACGGAGGTAGTTAGAGCTACTAAAGGATTATGATATCACCATTTTTTATCATCCCGGGAAGGCCAATGTTGTGGCCAATGCTTTGAGTAGGAAGGCGGAGAGCATGAGTAGCCTTGCTTTTATTCCAACTGGGGAGAGACCAATAGCTTTGGATGTTCAGGCTTTAGCCAATAGGTTCGTGAGGTTGGATGTTTCGGAGCTTAGCCGGATAAGAACTAGCATTCTTATTGAGACTTTAACTCATAGGGAAGAAAATCAATTTATAGATGGAATCAAATATGCAGTATTTACAAACAAAAGTATTCGATTATTGGGGGGAAACCCAACGTGAATTTTTAGCTAAAATGGTTTTTCTGGAGATAGAGAAAGATACAAAACTCTATTATCCTTGCGTGGTTTCACGGAGGCTTTGGCCATCATTCGATTTTGGATGCTACGAGTCACAATATCTATGACTCAAGCAAAACATGAATCTAACAGCTGCTAAACTACGCAACCTTTATTCATTGTCAGCGTTCTCCGTGGAAAATCCATAGCAAATATCCAAATCAGAAAAATTTCGCCTATCAACTCTTCTTTCCCCAAATGGATTGACATAATCTGTTTCCAGTAATCCTTCCGTAAATACTTCTACCATTAGAAAGAAAAAGTTCTACACAAATCAGTTTTTCCTCAGGAAGGGGTGGGTTACAGGTGGTTATGCATTCATCTGCGTCTCAACATGCCATTGGCAGCATTACACCTTTCAACATTGTACTTTACAATATATATATATATATATNCTTGAAGCTACCGGTTGAAGGTGGAAAATGCAGCAACTCACCCACCAAGGCGATATGATCTCCCTCTGAATGCTACACCAGAACTGCTATCAGGTTGCACAGTGTCAGTTGTTGCTGCACCAGAACCCCTATCAGGCTGTGCAGGATAAGCTGTTGCTCCTCCAACCCGATAATATCTCCCTCTGAAAGCTGCACCGGCATTATCAGGTTGTGCAGGAGTAGCAGTAGGTGCTCCAATCTTCCAACGCATAACCAGCTTATGTCTATGTATCACCAGTTAAAGAAATTTGCAGAAAAGAATAATTTCGTTTCCTAAATGCAGAAAAATGAGCATCTTCTTTCTTTTCGTTTTGGTTTTGTTAGGTGGAAATCGGAAACAAAAACCAAATTAGCCAGGGACAACACAGCAGCAAAATAAAATTTGATGGTGCAAGGAACATGCAATTGCAATGACCTCTCTGGTGATGCTCTGTAATGAGATGCCTACATGGGTGATTTCAGACAGCAGTTACGAGAACATCTAGATGGTCATTGGTCAAAACTGCAATCAAAAGGATACACCCATATTGGTGTCTTCAAAAAGTTCTTCCCCGTGGCAAGTGGATGCAACACGGTTAAGAAGTAATAGAGATGTCCAGCAATGATCCCCAAGAGATCTGGCATAATTGGTGATCCGAAAATAACATCTAAACCGAGCATGGCCCACGGCAAGTAAAACGCCTGCAAGTTGGAATGGGAAGAAACATTTCACCAACGGAAAATTAAGATAAAGAGCACGAAAACCTGACAACTGAGGCTTGAGGTATCTAAACGAAAGAACAGAATCATACCTTTAGGGTCACAAGACCATAAATATTGATATTAGCGTTTGGGAATTCTCTACTCCAGATATATAAAAGCATGAAAACGATTGATATGCCCAAGAATGGGGAGCGGAAGAAGGGGATTAGCGATAAAGCCTAGGCATAGCAGGAGACAATATGTTAAACAAATGAAAAATTGGTTTGGTGCGTATCAGAGGAATGAAACATCATCTGCATTGTAAAACAAACAGTAGAGTAATAAAGATGATAGCAAGGGAAGGGTATGAGGTCACAGCTAAGAAAGACACAATAGGAGCTCATGTCTTGGGTAATTCACTCCCAAAATGTTCAGCAGTTGACATACCAACAATGTCAAAGCTCCAAATATCATCATCCACAGAAAATCTGCTGTTCGTCTTTGAAAAGGTCCACTCTCCAGTTGCACTCCATATCTTGCTCTATAACATCAAGAAGCTATAATCATAATTAATACTTGAAAAAGTAAAACAAAAATCTTTTGCATTTCCTAACTAATTGCAAGCTTTAATAGTGCCGTAGAAAATGATTCATATTAGAGAAATAAGACTTTTAAAAGAAAAAATACTGGTCAGAGGGTGTGGGCTATGTGCCGCGGACTCTCCAAAATGTTGCCGCATCCGTGTCGGATCCTCCAAAAATGATCTGACACGCACCCAACCACATTTCGGTGAGTCCGGGCAACATAGGTTGTGGGCACTTACATCATCAAGAGGCGAATCCCAAAATTAATTGAGAACTTCCCAAGAAAGAAGAAATTTGTTATCAATCTCCATACCTGAAACAAATGTAGCATCCGGTATCCTCATTAATATTGAAAATTAAACCCAAAAAGATAAATTACACGTATCTTGGTACTTACAAAACACTTTTCAGATACGTGCACTAGATATCACTTATAACAAGTGATGCAAATTTCTCATTTACAGGCTCAACATAATTTAATATGATGTAATTTAACAAAAAACATGAATCACTATTATCTTTTGTTAAGGTACATGCATGTAGCACCAGTGGGGACCAAGGATTTTTATGCGGGTTCAAAATGCGAAGAAGCAAATATACAAAGACGTCAACAAAATAAATATTTATTAATAATAAAAATTAAAATACATGATTAAAATTGCCCTCTACGAGTTTTCATTTCCTGAAACGTATAAATAATATTCTCATCAGAAAGAGTGTTAAATATTCTTTTCTAAATAAGGCACCAAACAACCGTTCATGAACTCGTCATCCGTTCGATTTCGTAATTCAGTCCGGATCAACTTCATCGCCGAAAAAATTCTCTCAACTATAGTAGTGGCAAGTGGTAAAAGCAAAGCAAATTTCACAAGGCGAAACACAAATGGATAATTCAAATACTTCTTTGACTTAACTAGTGTTTCAGAAAGATCAACAAGTTCTTGTAAATTTGAGAACCTTTCATCAACATCACAAATATCAACAATATAAGTTTCAAACTAATTCCTGAGAGTAACCATTATATTTTCATCGAAAACGTCAAGATACTATTCAACCATTCTCAATATCTTTTTTATGTCAAAACTGAAAAATAAGTCAACTGGATTTAAGAAAGGTATTTCAATGAGCAAGTTCGTTGTCACCTCATTAAAACGAACATTGAGTTCTTGAACTTGCCAATCAATAATCTTAAAAAATACATCATGTGATAGTGATGTAAAATAATATAATCAGCAACTTTACGTCGAGATCTTCCGGAGTTAATATAGAGCTCGTCAAAGTTTAATATCAAAATGTCATATTGACACAAAACGCAGACACCTTATCAATCAGTGAATCCCATTCTTCATCTCTTGGCTTCTGCAACTGTCTCTTTGCCGCTTCAACAAGTAGAACAACATTTGCAATATCATGTTCCTTTTTCTATAAGGATGTATTAAGCTCATTTGTGATCCCAAAGCATATCTCATTAGGTGTAACATGAAAGCAACCTCAAATTTTTGACAAGTTCTAAAATATCCCTTTGCCTTAGCTCTTTCTTCTAAAGACCGGGCATCAACAACTATAGTGCCAAGAACATCAACAATAGAGCCAAACATAGAAATAAAGTTCTTAAAAGATTTGTAGTGCAACCCCCAACGAGTATCGGCAGCTATAGCAAGACCAAGTTCTTGATTCAAGCCCCCTACTAATTTCAAGCTCACCTATATCTAATGCCTCTTGAACTTTTTCTGCTTCTGCTTGAGATTCTCGAAGATAATCCATACATTAGGAAGAACCTCCCATTATATTCAAGACATTAAAAACCAACATTATAAGTTCTCTCACTTCAAGATACCTTTTAGACACCGCAACAAGAGTCAATTGAAGTTGATTAGCAAAACAATGAATGGAATGAGTTGATTTACTTTCTTGTTGAATCAAAGTTTTAAGGCCACTTAGATACCCTTGCAAATTGCTTGCTCTGTCATAGCACTGGCCACGTACATAAGATAAACTCAAAGAATATTGAGCAAGGTAATCAATAATTGCTTCCTTTAAACATAAAGTACTAGTATAACGAACATGAACGATCCCAATTAAATGCTCCACGACAGATCCCCATCTATCAACATATCGCAAGATAATAACCAATTGTTCTTTGCGTGATACATCACAAGATTTATTAACTACCAATGAAAAAAGTCACTATTTAGATCGCCCATAATTGCTTTAACTGTTTTAATCTTACATGCAATGATAATATCTTTTTAAATTTTATGATTAGTCAACTAATCATTATTTGGAGCCTTTTTGAACAAAAGATCATGGATTTTATCACACCTCATTGCTTACCATGAAAGAATTTAATGATGATTCATCTTCACGATATCCACGAAATGTCAATTCTTGATTCAAAGGAGTCTCACCAACTCAATTGAAGCCTTCAAGCGAATTGTGTATTCGAGCTTGGTTTGACTAGATTGCCTATCAGATGCAATTTGAATTGACTGTTTTTGTTGTAATTGATCTTAACATTTCTTTTTTGCCTGGTTATGAATACTGCTCAACCCACCAACATGCATACCTAATCTATTTTTTTGTGCACTCTTAAACCATATACTTAAAAATACATCGCCTGCCTCCACCTTAACGAATGCCTTCATCTTGAAATAAGTAACAACACAAACAATAAGCTGCATCTTCTATTACACTATGTTCTAACCAATTATGATACTGGTCAAACTATTTAGGATTGAAATGACACTTTAAAGACCGAAAAACCTCTTTGAGGAAACTTATGATATCACGGTTAGTAAGGACCTCTTTGGAGGTATGCTCTTCTAATCTTATCACGCTTATTTGGATGATAGTCCCTAATGGGTAGTCTTTCCTTTGGATCGAGCTTTAAAGAATCGAGATAAAAAAAAAAAAGCATCAAATTCCTTTACTTGAAGCCACGTAATTTTCAAGAAGACAATTCTCTAAGTTAGTAATAAATTTTAATCACATACTAATGATGGCCCCAATTCCCAAACTTGAAACAAAATACGCTGTAAAATACCCAAAATAAATTACCATCAAATTAAGTACTGAAATTCTTTTTAATTGATGAAATTGTACATGGCCAAACTAATTTTAAAAGTACAATACAATGATTAAAATCAAAGTGAAACATGACGATGTGGTTGCCGGCGAGAGAGGCGACAACCAACGAAAAGCGGCAGTGGCCAGCGGCTAATGGCAGCGGAGACGGCTCCGGATGCAATGTAACTTTGAAATTGAACCGAAGGATTCAGCCAAGAGAGAGAGACAGTGAAGGGTTGGTAATTGGAGGGTATTTGTTTGGGAATTGGGGGCTATATATAATTTTTAGATTTTAGATTCTATTAAGAAAAAAAAAGTAAAACGGTATCATATATGTAACGACCCGGCCAGTCATTTTGCTTTCTAAATCTCTGTTCCCCTATTTAAGACTTTGTATGTGCTTTTACTGTTTTATGACTTGTGGGGATGGTTGGTTTGGTTTTGGAAAGGTTCGGATTAAATTCGGAACAATTAGTTCCATAGTAGTGGCCTAAGGTGGTCAAGTTTGACTTGGGTCAACACTGAGTAAACGACCTCGAAATCGGGATTTGAAAGTTCCAATAGGTTTGTATGATGATTTTGAACTTGGGCGTATGTTCGGATCGAATTTTGGGTGGACCGGGAGTGTTTCGGTGCTTATTATTGAAAGTTGACGTCTTGAAGGTTTTAGAGTTTCTAAGTTTGATTTGAAGTAGACTTTGGTGTTATCGATGTCCGTTTGGGGTTCTGAGCCTTGGAATAGGTTCGTGTTGTGATTTGTGACTTGTGCGTAAAATTTGCGTCATTCCAAGTTATCTAAGTATGATTCGTCGCGTTCTGGAAGAAGTTTGAAGTTCCAAAGTTGATTAATTTGATGTTGAGGTGCGATTCTTGGTTTCGATGTTATTTTACGTGTTCCGAGACTTCGAGTAGGTCCGTAGTATATTTATGGACTTGTTGGTACATTTGGACGAGGTCCAGGGTGAATTTCGGACCACCCACAAAAAAGTTGAAGTTGGCTGATATTGCTGGTTTGCTGGTGTGCTTCGCGCGATCGGGTAATCCCGCGATCGCGAAGGGGGCTGGGGAGGGGTCTGAGATTTTGCTCTTCACAAACGCGAGTAGGGCCCCGCGAACGCGATGGAGGATCTGATTCCTCTTCGCGAACGCGGAGCCATCTTCGCGAACGTGAAGAAGGCTGAGGCTGAGTTGGGCTAGAAGGTTGTTGGCCTTCGCGAACGCGGCTGGGGGACCGCGAACGCGGAAGGGTGGGTGGTTGTTCAACGCGAACGCAAAGAGGATTTTGGTCAGCTGGAATAGTTTGGTCTTCGCAATCGCGAGGGACTTACCGTGATCGCGAAGAAAGAATCACCGGGCAGATCACATTTTTATTTCGGGACTTAGGTCATTTCTCTCACTTTTCACTTTGGTTTGGACAAATTTGAGAGCTCTTTTGAGGGGGATTTTCATCAAAAATCACAAGGTAAGTGATTTCTACCAATTTAGAGTTAAATACATGGATTATGGGTAGATTATAACATAGAAATTGTGGAATTTTGGCATTTTTGTTGAAAAACCTAGGGTTTGGTAAAAATGGGCTTTGACCACGAAATTGATTATGGAATTGGGAATAAATTATATATTTGAGTTTGTAATGTCATGGGTAATGTTTATCTTCAAAAAAATTCCGAAATCCGGACACCTAGGCCCGGGGTTCACTTTTGTTGACTTTCCAAACGAGGTTGGGAAATTACTCTAATAGATAAACTATGAACTTTTTAGCATATATTGATTGGTTTATACGACCTTTGGCTAGTTTCGTATTGCTCGGCATCGATTTGAGGCAAGTAGTGAGGTTAGAGAGACAAGTAGTGAGCTTTGGATCGAGGTAAGTCTCTTGCCTAATCTTGTAAGAGATTATCCTCGCAGGTATGCTAATTGTTATGTGCTACTTGTTTTGGGCGCTACGTACGCACGAGGTGACGAGAGTGTGTACGTAGCTAGATTCATGTTTATGTCCGGGTAGACTTAGAAACACATCATGCTTTAAATGTGCTATGTGAATTTATCGTGTTTGTTTGATTCCTTAAATTTATGACTGAGATTGAGACTAGAATAAAAAAATTGACCGAGTCTCTTACGTTGAAAATCGTGAAATATTTGATGAATGGTAGTTTCGTGTCTTATCAACTCGCAAATATTTTCGCGAGTGAGAGAGTTTCTCTATTGTTATGGGATCGGGTCGTTCGCCTTGATAGTGTTGTAAATTATTCTTATGGGATCGGGTTGTTCCCCTCGGCAATGTTGTAAATTACTCTTATGGGATCGGATCGTTCGCCTCGACGGTGTTGTAAATTACTCTTATGGGATTGGGTTGTTCGCCTCGTCAGTATTGTGAATTACTCTTATGGGATCGGGCCGTTCGCCTCGACAATATTGTGTAACACTACTCCAGTGTTGTAAATAGCGAGCGCTACGTCGCTGCGATGCGAGACTGTGTCGCTTCTTTCATCTGTTGTGTTGCGATTTACATAAAGCGATCGCCTCTGCTTGTGTAGCGAGAGGCGACAGTGTGGCGAGAGGCGACTAAAGCGTCGCTTTTTTAAAAAGAAAAAAGAAAAAGGGCAAAGACTTAAGAAAATAGGTCGCGATTAGGGCTTGACTCTCAGAAGTTTCTTTCTTCTTCAACTTCGAACAACAGAGCAGCCAAGTTTCTGAAAAAAGGTCGCGATTAGGGCTCGCGATTACTGTGCCATACTTGAGATTTGATGTGGTATTGGTATCGGTTGACCTTGTGCCTTCAAGGCAAGTTGTGGTATTGGTGATTTCATAATAATTCTTGTCTGGAAGTTTTATTATGCTGTTTACCTGCATCGTTGCTACTTGTTGAGTTTCATACCTGTCTACTTTATGTACTTAATTATTTTGACCACTAGTAAGTGTCAAGTAGACCCTCCGTCACTACTTCTTCGAGGTTAGACTAGATACTTACTGGGTACGTGTTGATTTACGTACTCATACTACACTCTTGCACTGATTATGCAGGTACTGAGACAGGTACTTCCGGTGGTCATACGGGCGCATAGACGTATTACACGGAGACTTAGTGGTGAGCTGTTTTCCATGCTTCGATCTAAATACGTCATTGAAAGTCCAAATACGTCATTGAAAGTCCAAATACCCCCCAAGTAGACCCCTCGTTACTACTTCTTCGAGGTTAGACTAGATACTTACTGGGTACGCGTTGATTTACGTACTCATACTTCACTCCTGCACTGATTGTGCAGGTACTGAGACAGGTACTTCCGGTGGTCATACAGGAGCATAGACGTATTACACGGAGACTTAGTGGTGAGCTGTTTTCCATGCTTCGATCTAAATACGTCATTGAAAGTCCAAATACCCCCTAAGTAGACCTCTCGTCACTACTTATTCGAGGTTAGACTAGATACTTACTGGGTACGCGTTGATTTACGTACTCATACTACACTCCTACACTGATTGTGCAGGTACTGAGACGGATACTTCCGGTGGTCATACAGGCGCATAGACGTATTACACGGAGACTTAGTGGTGAGTTGTTTTCCATGCTTCGATCTAAATACGTCATTGAAAGTCCAAATNCATATATTCAAAAATTTGAGAACTTTTGACCTATTAGTTTAAATCTCCAATTCACCTTTGGTCACACGACTCACACCAGGCACGATACATTTTATAGCATTCAGAATTTCTTTATAAAATTTAAATTGCAGTTCCAAATAAGAAATAATCATATCTCAAGCTTATCTGATATGTCATTGAAAGTCAAAATAGTCCCCCCCCCCCC